CTCTCGGTGTAATTGGGAAATAGTATTTACTCGTAGAGATCAAATTTTATTAAAACTTTTTAAAAAGTGTTTCCTTAATTGTGCATACTTTTCCCTCTAAGAACAGTTTGAGTTTTTGAATCTTTTACAAATCTGACATTTCTTTATTTTCTCCTTATGTGGATTTGTTTGGCAGGTACTTTGACTTTATGATCTGTTTCATGTATTATCTGTAAGTCCTTTCCATATTATTTCTTCTAGTCTTTCTCTAACAATTTCATCTCCCTGGAATAGACAAAAGGGCCCCAGAATTCAGTGATGGCTAACTATCGTACCACACTGCCTCAAAAGGCATAACTGGGAGGAGTGGGAAAGATGGGGAGACATAGTTCAAAGCGTACAAAGATGCAGTTATCCGGCATGAAAAAATCTAGAGTACCACACAAGTAGTAGAGTTAATAATATTGCATTACATACTACAAATTTGCTATGAAACTAGATTTTAGGTACTCTCATCACAAAAAAAGAAAGGTAACTGTAAGAAATGATAGGTGTGTTCATTTAATTGTAGTAATTACGTCACTAGGTATACGTATATCAAAATATCATGTTGTATACTTTCAAAAAAAAGGGGGAGGGACCCAAAAGTGATAATTAACGAAGCCAACTCCAAGAGATTAAAAACAACCTGGCTCACCTAAGGAAGTGCAGGAAGTGCTGATGAAGCAAAATAACCTGCTAATGTTTTTAATGCTGGAAAGAAGGTGTTTGGACCAGGCCACTTCAAAAGCACAAGAGTGGAAGATAAGAATTTAGATGACATTTAAGAACATACCAGACTTAGAGAATAACTTCTGTGGTCAACCTACTTATATTGTGCATATTTGGATGGTTATAGCTACAAGCTATCAATAACACATTTCAAAATGGCTCAAGTCAGGTTCTGCAACAGACCAATTAAACCTGATTCTCTGTGAGCAGAGCCCAGGCATCTGGATTTTAAAGCTCCCAGGGTGATTCTAATGCACAGCCAGGCTGAGAAGCCACAGCTCTGGCCAATCATGCTTTGGGCCTCAGGTCTTAGACCACTTACCAAAAGCACATGGGAGGCCCAGTCCTGAGAAAAGCTGAGAGTTTATTATTAAGGAAGGGGGAGGGAAGGATAGAGCTGTTGATGGCTGATGGGGAAGGAGCAGAGAGTATAAATCCAATTATAGAAATTCATGTTTTATTAAAGAAAATTTAAAACCTGGTAATATTTGGTGTGGTGATCTAAAATGGTCATGTACAAATTACAGGTTTCTGCAGTTTCTCATTTGCTTACAACAAATCACATTATTGATCAATGCATGTATATATGTATACGCTAAACTGGGAACACTTACAATTACTTCCTCATTTCATTCTGTGACTCGAATAGGTTAAAATGACTGTCTTTCTTAAATTTCAGTTCCTAATTGGCCAATATATAAACAATAAAATATGCAGCCTTAAAGATGAGCAAGGAGATACCTTTATCACCTTCAAAATGATATCGTAATCTGTTTTTTAGAGGTCATCTGCTTAGTAAGCAAGACATGCATAAGGAGTTGGAAATTTCCTTTTCATAGTTTTGTTCTGGAAACACATAAACAAGCTCCTTCAAAACAAACAGTCCCAGCACGCTAGCTACACATTTTCCCCAGAAAATACAAAGGAGAAAAGAGAATGGTCCTTGAAGTGGCCGAACTGGCCTCACGCCAAGAGGGGTGCTTCAAAATTGAGACATATTCGCCCACCTCTCCAAACAGGCAGGAGATTCAACAGAGCTGTGAGCTCTTCTTGTGAATTTACCTTTGCAGCCTATAACATAATAGGCAAAGTAGCACAGCATTATGTCATGTCAAGTTACTTCTTGCTTGTGCATACTTAAAACTACAAAAGAAAAACAACTATTCATACTTATTCTGCTCATTAATATGTTCATACCTTCATAACCACATATACAAAATATATACATTTTTATTGAAGGTATTAACTTTAAAATTCAGTGAACCTAAAGGTATTGCTTGCTCTGTTTTATTTCATTGCATAACTCATAAAGTTTCATTTTCTTTTTTTTTTTTTTTGACAGATTCTCACTCTGTCCCCCAGGCTGGAGTGCAATGGCGTGATCTTGGCTTACTGCAGCCTCTGCTTCCTGGTTCAAGCAATTCTCCTGCCTCAGCCTTCTGAGTAGCTGGGACTACAGGCACCCACCACCACGCCCAGCTAAATTTTTATATTTATAGTAGAGACGGGATTTCACCATGTTAGCCAGGATAGTCTCTATCTCCTGACTTCATGATTCACCCACCTTGCAAACTGCTGAGATTACAGGCATGAGCCACCACGTCCAGCGTTTCTTTTATATTTATATTTAATTTTATTTAATTTTAAGTTCTGGGATTCATGGAGGACATGCAGGTTTGTTACCTAGATACATGTGTGCCATGGTGGCTTGTTGCACCTAACAACCAATAAAGTTTCAGTTACAGTCTCTCAGTATTTTCATCTACCTTTTAGATATATAACAGGCTGTCAGTTTTGTTTTGCTGGGGAAAAAATGAGGTCCCTTATGGGAAAGATTTGCCATAGGGTTTTTTTTTTTTAATTTGATTTATTTATTTATTTTTATTTTACTTTAAGTTCTGGGGTACATGTGCAGATTTTGCAGGATTGTTACATAGGTACACACATACCATGGTGGCTTGCTGCCTCCATCCACCCCTCGTCACCTATATTAGGTATTTTTCCTAATGTTATTCCTCCCCAATCTCCCTACCCCCTGCTATCCCTCCCCAGCCTCCCGCCCCTCAACAGATCCCAGCATACAATGTTCCCGTCCCTGTGTCCATGTGTTCTCATTGTTCAACACCCTCTTATGAGTGAGAACATGTCGTGTTTGGTTTTCTGTTCTTGTGTCAGTTTGCTGAGAAATGATGGTTTCCAGACTCATCCATGTCCCTGCAAAGGACATGAGCTCATTCTTCTTTATGGTTGCATAGTATTCCATGGTGTATATGTATGTGTATATACACATGGTGTATATGTGCCTTATTTTCTTTATCCAGTCTATTCTTGATGGGCATTTGGGTTGGTTCCAAGTCTTTGCTATTGTAAACAGTGCTGCAATAAACATATGTGTGCATATGTCTTTATAATTGAATGATTTATAATCCCTTGGGTATATACCCAGTAATAGGATTGCTGGGTCAAATGGTATTTCTAGGTCTAGATCCTTGAGGAATCACCACACTGTCTTCCACAATGGTTGAACTGATTTACACTCCCACCAACAGTGTAAAAGCATTCCTATTTTTCCACATCCTCTCCAGCATCTGTTGTCTCCAGATTTTTTTTATGATCGCCATTCTAACTGGTGTGAGATGGTATCTCGACGTGGTTTTGATTTACATTTTTCTAATGACCAGTGACAATGAACATTTTTTCACATTTGTTGGCCGCATAAATGTCTTCTTTTGAAGAGTGTCTGTTCATATCCTCCTCCTACTTTTTGATGGGGTTGATTTTTTTTTTTTTAATGATAGTGACATTTAGTATGGAAAGAGTATCTACTTTATCTCCTAGTACTGAAAGCCACATATTGACTACCATGGGAAATGGTGCCCTAGGCTCTTTTCCTCAGTTAGCTCTAGAGCAGTGCCCAATAACAGAAACATTATGTAAGCCACCTATGTAATTTCAAATTTTATAGTTACATTTTTCACATGATAAAATTATGTTAATAATACATTTTATTTAATCTAATGTATCAAAAATATTATCTCAACAAATAATATTTTTAAATTACTTTATATTATTCTTTTTAAATACTAAGTCTTTGAACTATAGCATGTATTTTACACTTATAGCATATCTCAACTTGGACATTAAATTTTTATTGGAAGTCATTTATCATAAAATTTAGAGATGAAAAGGTAAACTCACATATTCAAGTTGTTCCAATCATATATATGGACATCAATTTAAAAGTTTCGATTAAAACTAAATATAATTTGCATTTCAATTATTTTATCACACTACCATCTGTCAAGTGTTTTTGAGCCGAATATGGCTATTGGCTATAGTACTGGGCAGCTCAGCTCTAGACTATGAGAGTACAACGGTGCTTGGACACCGTCCTGCTATTCTCCAGAAGAAGTAGTCAAGAAGAGCCCAAGAAAGGAAGCTGTGACAGCTCAGGCCCAAACAATGTTCACTCCAATGTGGGCAGCTGAGAACAACGAACCCCCACTAACATAAATTGATGCTGTTCAGTAAGAGCCCTGGAGGATCTGCATGAGGGATCCATCTTACCATGTGAGAGCTGGAGAGATGGCTCTCAGAAGCAAAACCAACTGGGGACACTAGGACCGGAATCTTATCCTAAAGCTCCCTAAAGCATGGTGTGATTAACTGAGATGAAAAAATCTCAGGCCCCTAGGACCCAGCACCTCTAGAGCTATTTCTAACTTTGGTTGTAAATTCCCTCCCGAATAACATTTTAGAGTCACAGTCACCTCCTGAATACGCACGCTAGGAGGATCAGCGATTACTCCAATAAATTACATTCTGCATCATTTTTCTCAAGCCATTTCCAGTCACCCTTATAAATGCTGCTTACCTAAATTGCCTGCAGTGTAGTGGGTGGTGCAGAACATGCCAGATGGACACATGTCTGAAAAGATACTGTGTCATCCCATGTTCATAGCTGCACAATTCACAACTGCAAAAATATGGAACCAGCACAAATGCCGATCAGTCAACAAGTAGATAAAGAAACTGATATATATATCACGGAATACTACTCAGCCATATGAAGGAATGAAATAATGGCATTCACAGTGACCTGGATGGAACTGGAGACCAGTCTTCTAAGTGAAGTAACTCAGGAATAAAAAACCAAACATCAGAAGTTCTCACTCATAAGTGGGAGCTAAGCTATGAGGACACCTATTCCCCAAAAACCTACTGAAATTTTTTTTAAAAATAGGGAAAAAAAAGATATTATGTTATTTTTGGGGAGGAAGATTTGGGTGGATAACTTAATAAAATGTCACAAGTTTTTAAAGAAAAAAATATATAACTATAGTGACCATCATTTTCCCCAAATTAATTTTTTTAAAAGTGAATTATATAGCCTAAAAGAAGCAGGATAAATCAGCACTACCTTAGGAAGTCTGCCTTTGAACACAAAACTGTGAGCCAAAAAATGTATACAATCACATACAATTAAGCGTTCAAATGCAAGTTAATCTAAATGATCAACTTCTACATATGTTCAAAGGGAGACATCTTTTGGATTATCATTTCAAACTCTCTCCCAAATATTCATAAATCTTCAACAGAATTTAAAGTAAGGTCTAGAAAGTGAGCATTCCATTCCCTTCTCTTTTTCATTTGCTTTTGATGGTGAAGCTGATGCACAGAACGAGGGCCCAACTGCCAGCCATGACAAAGAAGCGAAAAAGAAAGTGGAGAAACTGGCTCCGGGACACCTTGGACATCACAATGCACAAAGTGCAACCTTCTCTTCTTCATTCACATGCATCCATTCTATACAGACACTTATTTAAGGCTTCCAGTGGGGCCCCTTCCCGCCCTTAGGCCACTGTGTGTGTCTGGCAGCCCCTGACCCCGGCTCCATCTGGTTCCCCTCTCTCTAGGCTCTAACCTCTCTTTCCATGGACTTGCCATAGTTTGCTTTAGTTTACAGCTATAGATTTTTAAAAGTTACTTAATTATTGCCTGTCACTCCCTAGACTGTGGGTATCATGAGGGAGGGATGCCTCTGTTGTGTTCATCCAGGAAGCACATTTCCTAACACATACACCTTTACTCAGGGATGTTCAATAAGTCTTTTGGTTGAATGAATTCGTTTGCTATTTGGCTAACAAATTTAAGACCTTTTTTCATTCTGAAATATTAAAACTTTCTATGAGATCTTCCTTAAATAAAGCTTTAACTGTCAAAAATAATCATTCTTAATTGTGAAATACTAAAACTTTCTATGAGACCTTCCTTAAATACAGCTTTTAAACGTCAAAAAAAAATGTCAGTTGCTATGTGTTTATAAAAACAGGTAATTTCTTTCCTTGCACCCTCACTGCCAGCATTATCAAAATGTAGTTTCCAATCTTAGGAAAAAAATATTGTGCAAGTGAATAGCAGTGGATATGAGCGGCACACAAGCTTGAAGAAAAGTGATGTCCACATCTCGGCAGTGGAACTGTCGCTCCCTAAGAACGAAGAACGTAGATGTTTTGTTCAAGCCAAAAACCCTATCACTTTGTCCCAGAACAACCCTGCAAAATGGCGAAGGCACATGGGCCTCGTGCTTCACGCCCCTCTGTGGAACGCGTGACAAAGAGGCCGAGCACAGCAGATGAGGTGCTGCCTATGATCGCTCTGTGCAGAAAATGCTGACCTGGTTTTAAATTGTGGCAACAAGTTAAAGAACACAAATAGCTAATCTGAAGTCAGTGAGCCTTTGTGGACATTAAGAAAATGCCTGGGCAGAGGCTGTTTGTACCTGATTCACTCGAGGGTGCCATACGGCTCAGGAGGTCAATTACATGAGACAATACATGCTTCCCCATCACGAGATGAGCAAGTGAGGGAAAAGCAAGTTCCTAACAGAGGAGTAAATTGTTTTCTGTCAATTTTGCTTAAAGGAGAATGTATGCAGTGTATACTGCTGTAATTTCTAGAGAAATTTAAATTTCTGTAAAGTAACTTATGGAGTTGTCAATTACATTAAAAACAAATCTATTTATAGAAACCCCCTGCATTATATCAAAATCAGTCCAAGTTAAAAAAATCACATTATTAACTTTTTTAGCAACAGATGAGCAAAAGTCACTAAATTTTAACAGTATCATTTTGCACCTAAATTTCACCCTCTTAACTATAATAGGAAAAGAGGAAGAAGGGAGAGGGGGAAAGACAGGTTGTACTAAAAACCCTCCAATCTGTAAACTTAGGAAGACTAACTTGGTTTCTTTTCCTGCAGAAGGGTGGATAACAAAAGCATGTTCATCAAATACTTGTCATTAAAAGACGTATGACACCCTACTAAGCATTTATTTCTTTTTTCCAGAAACTACTCCAATCCTGCCTTATGGTCTTTTCCTCACACAAGCCAATGTTACCCCAAATGACACATGGCACTGTCAGTGGAAACTGTGATCGGCCACAGAAGCACAGTGTTAAGTCTCTCTTTAATTCCAAAGCAAATCAGCTCTAATGATAAGAGTACCATCTACCATCAGTGCACCACACCTGGAGGTCACACAAGAACAGGTCTGCACTTTTCTGCCCTGTGACTCGTGTAAATGCAAGGGATCGGGAATCAAACCTGAACCTGGACTAAGAGAGATAAATGTCCATTGGACCCCAAGTTCTGGTAACTCTGAAAGGGCATCTGTGACGTATGATGCCCTTCACAAATCCCTGACTTCCTGGATCGCACCCTAGGGTCAAGGTGCATCCTCCGCAGCTCCCAGCTTTCTGCTTTGATCAGAGAGTGATGCATCACCTGTAAACTCTGGCTACAAACTCATATCTCCTGCAGCCATCCCACATCCTTCGCTGCCCTCAGTTCTGCTTCACACACGAATCAGTAATTATTAACTGCAGAGAGATGAACAGACCCACGAAACGCTGCAAATCCTTCCCAGGATCTGAAGTTCTCCATTACAAAGGAAACCATGCACGTACATCTCCCCCCTCCCTGCTGCACACCTCATTTGCCTGGAAGTTGCTCAACTGGTTAATAGATGATAAATGACAACCATATTCCTAAGATGTCCGAGCTCCTCAGCATTTATATTACCATTCAGTGAAACCAATACTAGTGTTTAACATGCCAAATATAATATAAAATCAATGTGTGGAAATTGGAAATTTGAAAAGCAGATGAGTAGGGGTTGGCACACAGAAAATGTCTGACTCTAACAATATAAATCAACAGTTTTGGCCAGGCGCAGTGTCTCATGCCTGTAATCCCAGCACTTTGGGAGGCCAAGGTTGGCAGATCACTTGAGGTCAGGAAGGAGTTCAAGACCAGCTTGGCCGACATGGTAAAACCCCATCTCTACTAAAAATACAAAAATTAGCTGGGCATAGTGGCAGGTCCCTATAATCCCAGCTACTCAAGGAGGCTGAGGCACAAGAATCACTTGAACCTGGGAGGCAGAGGGTGCAGTGAACCAAGACATCACCACTGCACTCCAGCCTGGGCGACAAAGTGAGACTGCCTCAGTCCATCCATCCATCTATCCATCCATCCATCCATCCGGGAACAGAGTTCCGGTCTTGGCTCCAGGAAAGTAATGGCTACGTCTTCCATGAGCATCTTTTCAGAGTCTGAAAAGGGTCTGGGGTTGTGCACGCTGGAGGTACTCAAATAGAGTCAGTCAGTTAAAAGTGACTGAAATATGCATTTTTTTCTCTCATCTATTTTTTCTTAAGTACAGGTGTATGTATGAGTGCATGTGTTTGCAGAGTAAAGGAAGAGTCTTCTTTTGATCACTGGAGAATATATAGAAATCGAGTTGTCCTGAGTGCCTGGCACCATATGTGTACCTTTTCTCTTTTTTCAGGTATCTGGGGTACTCGTACCTCAACAGGAATAAAGGGAACTACACATTTCTAATGCAAGTTATATTCATTCCTACGGCCACTATAATAAATAACCACAAAGCAGGTGGTCCAGAACAACAAAAATGTATTATCTGACAGTTCTGGAAGTCAGACGTCCAAACTGAGTCTCACTAGACTAGAACTCAGGTGATGGCAGAGCTGCGTTCCCTTGGGAGGCTCACTTCTCACCTTTTCCAGCTTCAGGGCTGCCCACGTTCCTTGGCTGGTGTCCCTGATCACTCCGAACCCTGTTCCTGTCCCGTCCTCTATCCTCTTCTCTGTCTCTCTTTAATACTGTGCCTTATCGTTATGTGGGGCATACTGGGCCAATCCAAGATAATCCTTCCATCTCAAGATTCTTAGTTCAACGACATCTGCAAAGTCTTTTTTTGTCATGGTAAAGTAACATATTCACAGGTTCCAAAGATTATGGCCTGGACATTTTTGGGGGGGGTCATTATTCAATCTACCACACTAATGAATTACATTTCATTGTTATCCATAGAGCTCACGATATCTGAAATTTTCATTCAAATAAAAATAAGCCTTCAGCCTACTTATGGAAAAGATTAGATGGAAGTCTTTTTGATTCATTATTCTCCATCATATGACCTTAAATATCCCAAACCCCATTTCTCTGCCTCAGTTACTCCACATCGAAACCATTAGTCCCAGAAATGTTAAGCAGGACATGTGGAATGTAATGCCTTCTAACACTTTAGATATTTGGAAACATTAACATGTATTACATACATTAGCAGTTTCTTACATTCCTGGAATCACTCAGCAGACAGTCTCAACTACCAAGACAAATCTGAAATCCATCAGGGAAACAGCGATGGCAAATAATCCAGCATAGATGCCCTTCAGCAAATATTTACATCTGGGCACCTACTAAGTGCACAGTTCAGCACTTGACACCGTGGGGGAGATGACATAATGGAGAAAAATGCCCAGTAGAAGACAGAAAACATACAGAGAAGAAACAGCAAGTGGTAAGTGGTATACTGGAAACACACACACACACACACACACACACACACACACACACACACACACAAAGTGCTTTAGAGTCTGAGCTAAAGGAGAGCTGTTCTCAGAGTCAGACTTCAGAGTCTATTCAGGGAATGACATCACTGCAAAAGTGGCACTTGAGCTTGATTTACAACATAGGTAGAATTTTGCTACAGAACCTTTCCAATTAACAGAAAGACAATGAAGTTCAGGCATGGGGGCTCATATCTGTAATCCCAGCACTTTGGGAGGCTGAAGGGAGCAGATCACCTGAGGTCAGGAGTTTGAGACCAGCCTGACCAACGTGGTGAAACCCCGTCTCTACTAAAAGTACAAAAATTAGCTGGGCATGGTGGCAGGTGCCTGTGGTCCCAGCTACTCGGGAGGCCGAGGCAGGAGAATCGCATGAACCCAGGGGGTGGAGGTTGCAGTGAGGCAAGACTGCACCACTGCATTCCAGCCCAGGAATGTAGTCTCATTGAAAAAAAAAAAAGAAAGAAAGAAAGAGGAGAAGGAGGAGGAGGAAGAGGAGAAAGGAGGAGGAGAAGGAGGAAGAAGGAGCAGGAGGAAGGAAAAGGAAGAAGGAGGAAGGGAAGAGGAAGAAGGAGAAGGAGGAAGAGGAGGAGGAAAAGAAGAAGAAATAATGAATAAATAAATCATGGTCCCAGGGCAAGAAAGTTCTCATTCAATCTATTTACTCATTACTTATGCACATGGTATTTCCAAATAAAAGAGACTTGTTTCTATCTATAAAAAGATCTAGTCTTTGTTTTTAATAATCGAAAATTACATAAAAGCACCAAAATAAAGTAAAAATTCAGCCTCACAAAAAAAGGTATCTACTCTTTTGACAACACTCACAAAACAGACCCCTTCCAACAGGTTTGTGTAAGTGGCCTTTTGGTTCACCACAAAATAAATGGCAGCAAAGTGAGCCTGGGAAGGTGTCCTGCGTTTCCTCGGATTCTGTATTTGGCTATTTGGTATCCATCAATTACAGGACAAGTTAACAGCCACGTGGTTTCCATCTCTCCTGTGATCTAGCTGAGCCACCTCCTTACCTAACTCTCAGCTACCTAGCCCACATTTCCCCTGCCCTAAATCCCTCTGGGCCAGAAACTGACAACTAAAGACCATCCCACCCTCTAGCCAACCCCAGGCTGATTCCTCTGCTCTGCCTTGCCTTTTCTATAGCAACCCAGCAAAGGATCTGGCTTCGGCTTTCCCCTGACTCTTGTCTCTTCCTCTTCACCAAAACACGTGCTTCTCCTCCTGGTCCCCTCTTCTCTTAGAAAATGTAAGTAATAAAAACAACTTCTTTCCGCCAGGTGTGCTGGTTCAAACCTGTAATCCTGGCATGTCTGCCAAGGCAGGTGAATCACTTGAGGTCAGGAGTTCAAGACCAGCCTGGCCAATACAGTAAAAACCCATCTCTACTGAAAATAGAAAAATTAGCTAAGCGTGGTGGCTCACACCTGTAATTCCAGCTACTTAGAAGGCTAAGGCAGAAGAATCACTTGAACCTGGGAGACAGAGGCTGCAGTCAGCCAAGATCATACCACTTCAGCCTGGGAGACAGAGTAAGATCCTGTGTCAAAAAAAAACAAAACAAACAAACAAACAAACAAACAAAACTTCTTTCAATGGCATTGTCCTCACTGTGTCGTCACTCAGTTATCTCTATAAGTTAAAATCCTGTGGGTACAAACAAGACAGAATGGGGGAAATGCTATAAACATCACCACTGAAAATAGCAAAAAGTGACAAATGACAACGAGGAAGGATACCAAAAAGCTCCCCAGGCACTCAGGAGTCTTGCCATGTGGGAGTGTTAACGTAACTACGGGCAAGTCGTGAATTAAACCGCAATGACCCATGTTCACAAAACAGTGTTGATAATGATGAGATTGAGAAAAGGTCAAGCTTCTACACAGTCAAGATAAGATTTCAGAAGGTTAAGTACTTTAGAACGACTTTCACACACATACCAAAAAGTTTAAAATTGGAGTTTGAGCATTTAAAGAATATTTCAATGATCTGAAATGTTAAATCATCATGAGTGCTTTTCCTCAATAGTTGGGGAAAAGCTGGGCCCTGGAGTCAGGCAAAACAGGCCCTGCTCCCAACTTCATCACTAACTCACTGTGTGACGTTGGAGAAGTCGCTTCCCGTCTCTGAGTCTCCATTTCCTCTAATGAGAAAAGAATACTCAACCTGACAACATCCGAGATGCCTTCCAGCTCTGACATCTTATCTTTCGTAAGTAAACTGTCATTAGTAACCTAGAATGTGAATTCTAATCACATATTTCAGCCACGATCACAAATTATAGGTTTGTTTCTGCCTCTTAACCAGAAATGTAACGTTTTTAGAAAGAAAACTGAAAGACAAAAGAAAACCCAAAAGTCAAAACTATTCGAATCTCTCCTTAAGGAGTTTATCTCATGAAGAAATACCCAACCTCTCCCTATCAGGATGTTTTGAAACCCCAGTCAAGAATGCCCAACAAAAATATTTACAAGCACATGAGAAGAAAACACATGCTTATGATCATTTTTAAAAAGAAGAAGAAAAATGAGGGGGAGGAGGGGGAGGAGGGGGAGGAGGGGGAGGAGGGGGAGGAGGGGGAGGAGGGGGAGTAGGAGTCCTCTCATCTTCAGCACAAATACAGTATTCTGTGGGGCCTCTAAACAGAAAATTATCCAGCATTGTTTGTGCCTCTGCTCTGGCAGGACACAAGTAAGTTTTCAAAGTGGATATGAACGGATAAAAGGCACAAGGCTTCTGTAAAATAAATATATAAAGTAGCATGGAAAGAACACATTATTGTTCAAGAGTCAGGAAGCTCTGGAGCCCAGCCCAGGAAAACATTCTGCAACCTAAGGTGTGCCCTTCCAAGTCTTGGTCTGTTTATAAAGGACTCAGAGATAATTCCAGACATGTGTGATTTCATATCAATCCAACTTTCCTGAGAGAAAACATGTTCAAACTCAGAATAGTTAAGATTTGGAAAGGACAGGTGACGATTATTTCAATACGCTTTTCAGTACTGCTGCATGCTAAGAAAGCAGATGCCTGCTGGCTGGCCTCGCCACGCGGAGGGATTAATGGGTCAATTTCTTGAAGAAATAGCACCATGACATAATTGGCCATCACTTAGCCAGGAATCAATCAGACGGACTTTTCTCATCTATCTGAGCTTTTTGTTCATTATACCTTAGGCCATATCAGAAATATAGCTGAGAACATTCTCCGATGCCTCAGTTTCTCTCACCAAAGCATCAGGAATAGAAGTGTGTGTCTGTCACTATGTTGACAATGTCACTACATTGTCTGTTCCTCATAAGAAGGGTTGAAAACTCAGTGGATAGTGATGTGATGACATAAATGACCTCAAATTGCTTATGCTCTAAGCTCACCTACTTCAAAGCATTTCAGAAATACCTGTCAAATTTTTCTGGCCCATCTCATTCCCTCGATAATGGAAAAAGAAACAAAAGGATAAACCTTTAAGACATGAGAGGCTCAGAGCAGAACAAGACCAAGACCTCAGTTCTGCCTGCTCTGCTCCAGATACCATTTCATGTTTACTCCATATCATAGGGCAGAAGGCAAACAACTGAATAGTAAAATCACATTCTCATTAAGTAAACTGTTCCAGAACTCCGGCCGAGTGTGTTCCTTCAGAATTAATGTATTCTGCTGCTAGAGCCATCCCCATTGTCCTATTCTGAGTGACTACAGGGAGAAGGCACAGGGCCCCAGACCCAGGGAGCAAGGCTACTGTGCTGCAGCCACTTCTGTCACCCACAAGAAGTCACCTGAGGCTCTGAGACCTCTCCTCTGACCACATCCAAGGCCCTCCTCGCCAACCCCACCCGTTAGGGTTGCCAGATAAAATACAGGATGCCCAGTTAGATCAGAATTTCAGATAATTAATGATCTTTTAGTATAAGTTATGTTCCAAATATTGCATGGGACATGTTTATAGTCAAAAAAAATTATTCATATGAAATTCATTTTTAACCAAGTGTCTTCTATTTTTATTTGCTACAACTGGCAACTCTACCCCCTCATTCTTTCACTACTCCTCCAAAGTATTCTATGATACAAGGAGAAAAATAAATTCTGACACAAAAACAACTGGGAGGTGAGGAAGAACTGACAAGCTAATTTCAAAATAAAACGTTTGGCCGGGCATGGTGGCTCATTCCCGTAATGCCAACACTTTGGAAGGCCAAGGCAGGGGGACTGCTTGAGGCCAGGCATTCAAGACCAGCTTGGGCAACATCGTAAGACCCCATCTCCACAAAAAATAAAAAATTAGCCAGGTAGGGTGGCACAAGCCTATGGTCTTAGCTGCTCAGGAGGCTGGGGTGAGAGGATCGCTTGCGCCCAGGAGGTTGAGGCTGCAATAAGCCAACATCAGGCCCCTGCATTCTAGCCTGGGTGACAGAGACAGACCCTCATTGCTTAAAAAACAAAAGTCAACAACAGCAAAGGCAAATGATTTTAGAGAATACTGGAGTAACCAACAAAAAATTATGTTTGTCACTGAAATTAAATGGTATAGCATCATTATTTGAAATTAAGAAGTCATTAGCGTTCTACAGGACACAACTTCTTCACATAGTACTCTGAATATTAAAGTATCCAATTAGAAAGGTGAAGGTAGATTCAAAACTGTTTTTAAACAGCATGTTTAAAACTACCAGTGCGTAAAATGGTTTCTAATACTGCTGACTTGGTCATCTAGGGTAGTTGTAATTTTAAAATGTATTGCTGCATTCGGTGTTAGCTCCCCCAGTTATCCACTTAATTACTGGCCTTAGTGACACATAGGAATCCTCCCTAGTTCTTTTCTACTGTACACAGAACACCTCAGTGACACCAGCTTTGGAAACAACCCACTTGGGTTATGTAAGGAGGGCAGCTGACAGAAAATGGGGCTGACAGAGATTTCAGGGAAGACTTGAGTCAGGGTCAGGAGGAGGAAACTGGCCGGTTTCCAGCACCTCAGATCCACGGTGCAGCTCTGCTCTCCCCAGTGATCAGACACGCCCATGCTCAGAACACAGGGCCACGCCAAGAAGAAATAAACTAGAGGCCCTCCGTATCTCTGCTCCATGCATACAGTGAAGAAGAATTAGCCTTCTCCTCCCTAGATCAGAGGGAGGCACAAAATTATTTAAAAGATGAAGGCACAGGATGCAGATATCTTATTATAAAGATACAGACATTTATATGGCAAGAAATTAGTTACTTGTATTTACATGTATGTATTTATTAATTTATTTATTGACAGGGTCTTGCTCTGTTACCTGGGCAGGAGCACAGTGGCAAGATCACGGCTCACTGCAGCATTGACCTCCAGGGCTCAATTGATCCTCCCACCTCAGCCTCTTCAGTAGCTGGGACTACAGGCATATACCATCACACCAGCTAATTTTTGTATTTTTTGTAGAGACAGGGTTTTACTATGTTGCCCAATCTGGTCTCAAACTCCTGGGCGCAAGCCATCCACCCACCTCAGCCTCCCAAAGTATAGGGATTACAGGCATGAGCCACCACACCCAGCCTCCATTTTATTTTAAAGCATTAATGCCCTTCAATTAGGAAATAATAATAATGTTAAGCACTTTCTGGGTACAAGCCATTGTGCTAAGAGCTTCGCATAAATGTATCTCAGTCAAGCCGCACCATATCCCTATGAGTTTTTTTAAATCCCCTGTTTAATTTCATAGTTAGGCTAAATGTGCAAGTTAAATAGCTTGTCCTAGACTGCAGACACGGTAAACAGTGGGGGAATGATTTCGAGTCACTGCAGACTGACCCAAAAGCCATTTTCTTCATCCAGAATGTATTACCTGTCCCCAATTAAGCACGTATTCTAGGTGGTAATCATGACACAGTACGCAGAAGCATAACTATTACAGGGAACTCACTTAAATTTCTCTGGCCTTCAGTTACACAATGAAGCTACATCATCTTCAAAGATCCTTCTAATGTCCAAATATCCAAGCTCTATCGAAGCGGAACCAAAAATTCCTCAGGGTCAGCTATACATAGTCACATTTAATCTACTTGACGCCTCTGAGGCTTAGAGAGGTTAAGTGGCTTCCTCAAGGTTACCAGGCCAGAATGGAAAGAGATCTTTCAAATCCATTTCCTGGAAGTCTCCTTTAAACCATAGCTGGATCTATGATCTCTAATTTATATGGCAATGTTGCAAGCCAGTAGACATAAAAACATTCAGGCTACAAATCCAACTACAGAACACAAGCTATTAAGTCTTAGATTTATTAAACAAGCTCTTTTCTCCTAATAAAGAGAAAGCAGCTACAGAGTCCAACTCAGTCACTAGATGTCAAGAGTTAGGCAGTGGCGCAGGTGCTGTGATGGAAGCCTACATCTCTAACACCCCAGGCACTGCGACTCCATAGCCCCCTACAAAAAGCAACCTCGTCCTACAGAATCACGACTGGGTAAAAAGAAACCCAACAGAGCAAGGCTCGGAAGGCGATTGGGCAGTGGGCCACTTAAACATTGCTATGGAAATACAATTAGTCTTATTGACCTAAGACGTAATTCATTTAGGGTTTTTTGATACTTCAGCAGGAGCTGAGCCCCATCTGGATTTAAAAGGACTTGATGAAAAAATTTAGATTACAAGAGGACACTAAACTAACCTCAGGAGGCCAGTCACTTAACCATTTTTTTTTTTTTTTGAGACAGAGTCTCGCTCTGTCACCAGGCTATAGTGCAGTGGCATGATCTTGGCTCACTGCAACCCCCTCCTCCCAGGTTCAAGCAATTCTCCTGCCTCAGCCTACCAAGCAGCTGGGACTACAGGCGCGTGCCAGCTAGGTTTTTATATTTTAGTAGAGATGGAGTTTCACCATGTTGGCCAGGATGGTCTCGATCTCCTGACCTTCTGATCCACCCGACTCAGCCTCCCAAAGTGCTGGGATTACAGGAATGAGTCACCACGACTGGCCCACTTAACCTTTTAAAAGCACCTATGTACCTATGTTGAATGAAACAATGACCATTCTCCTCTATTTGTTAACTTTTTTAAAAAAATGTAATTTTATTTTTCCTTCATTTAAAGAATCTTTTCCTGCAATTTGCCTCAAACATAAGCTTTTACACATAGACAGTTTCTACGCTCCAAGCAAGTTGCCCCTCAGATCAGTCCACACAGTCTGCACATCTCTTTCTGTATATACTATGCTGTTTTCCATGGGGAGGAGAGGGGGACAGTGAGGACAGGACCAGAGCCAAGGCTGATGAATATTCTCCATATGAGTCACCATAAAAAGAAATACAAGACCTGTATTGTATTGACCAGCCCCTGCCCTCAAAGCATCCATGAGGTAGGTGATATTTTGCTAGTCTACATGACAGTGGAGACCAGAGGGCCTAAGCCTTTTAACGGGGAGGGTGGGTTGGCTTGTGATTCCCATACTGCTGACTTCCTCCGTGAATGCCTCCAAATCCCCAAAGTATAGATCTGATACTATGGAACATTCAACCTGCTCTGCAAGCCCCATTTCCCAAGGAGCAGCTGCCTGTAAAGGTAAAACTAATGCACAACCAGAGCTGTCATGGCTTCGACCATCAAACTGCTTTAAACTGCTAACAGAACCACACAGCAATAGGCCATCAGTCAGGAGCAGAAAAGCTGATTGTCGCTAAAGAGCATGAACGACAAAGTTCTGGGATCCCAGTGCTCCGTGTCTGTTAAACTGCATTACAAAATAATGTGAGTCATAAAATCAATTCAATAAACAGTATTTTATGTAAATTAAATGGAAACACAGATCCTTAAGGGTAACTGTAAACATCTGTAACTTGAAACAAATACTTCAGGATCTGTGTGTGTGTGTGTGTGTGTGTGTGTGTAAAACTGGTCAGGATGTAAAAAACTGTAAAACATATTTCTTACTGGGTGTCATAATTTTAAAAGTTTGGAAAATGCTGTCCTAGGCTCAGTAGTAAATATAGTTTTGAATAACTGCAGCCAAAAGGAACAGCAGTTAGGACTGTGACCCAAGGAAAGGCAAACAAAAATGAATAAAAATAAATACTTCCTTAGAAGGACTGACCATACAGTTCACAGTCTTGACCCTAACTCTATTATTCTTGGCTTGAAATCATCCAACCATCTGAGAAAACGGCTGCAAAACACCTGAAAGATTTCAAGTGCAGGTGTCTGGAAGGCACACACCAAAAAAACAAATAACATCGGGTTCTGAAAGACAGGAAGCCACCATTCCCAAACCATAAAGACTCTGCGAGAATAAAAATGTTTACACTACTATGTTAAAAAGCCTAGCAAGTAGATGATGTGCACGGCAGGCCTGAAGGCAGCCCCTGAAACACTGCAGAGACAATGTCACACAGATAATGCCTTGAGGTGGGAAAATCAAATAGGAGCACCGTCTTGTAAAGGACTGGCACATTAACTGAAATTATCTTTTTAATCAACTAAACATGTATTTTGGGATATCTAAAACAAGCATCTTTTTTTTTTTTTTTTTTTTT